CTACGACGTCTACGTTTACTACTACTACTACATCTACTACGACGACGACGACGACTACAACTAATACGCTTACGGCGACGACTAGCACGACGACTACTTCTACTACTACTACTACTACTACTACTACTACTACTATTACTACTACTACTACTACTACTACTACGACTACTACTACTACTACTACTACTACTACTACCATTAATACTACTACTACTACTACTACTACTACTACTACTACTACTTCTCGTACTACTACTACTTCTACGTTTACTTCTACGACTAAATCTACGACTACTACTACTACTACTACTACTAACGACTAAATCTACGACTACTACTACTACGTGACTGTCCCTACGACTAAATCTACGACTGTTCCTACTACTACTACTACTATTACTACTACTACTACTACTACTACTACTACTACTACTACTACTACTACTTCTACTACGACTACGACTACGACTACGACTACGAATACTACTAGTATTGCTAACACTACTACTACTACTACCACTACCACTACTACTACTACTACTACTACTACTACTACTACTACTACTACTACTACTACTACTACTACTACTACTACTACTACGACTGTTATTACTACTACCAATACTACTACGATTATTATTATTGTTATTACTATTACTACTACTTCTATTAATGCGACTACTGCTGCTATGACGACCAGTACTACTACGACCGCTACTAACATCATCCGTAAAGGCTTCGCCCCATGTCGCTGGCCCCTTGTCTTGGATGATGGGAGATGCAAGAGCTAAATCATGAGGTCTGGGCGCCGCCGTGAAGCAGTGTGGGGACCTGTTTGTGTTCGGACCCTGGCCCCGCCGATCTGCGTCAGGGGTGCCACCGAATCCAGGAATGTGGCACATCCTTTGTGTTTTTGGACCCTGACCCCGCCGATTTGCATGAGGGATGCCACCGAATTTCAGACATGTGGCAAATCCCTTATGTTTTTGGACCCTGACCCCGCCGATTTGCGTGAGGCGTGTTACCGAATTTTACACATTGTGGCGCATCCCCTGTGTTTTTGGACCCTGGCCCCGCCGATCTGCGTCAGGGGTGCAACCGAATTTCAGGAATGTGGCACATCCTTTGTGTTTTTGGACCCTGGCCCCGCCGATCTGCGTCAGGGGTGTCACCAAATTTCAGACATGTGGCAAATCCCTTATGTTTTTTGACCCTGACCCCGCCGATCTGCGTGAGGGGTGCCACCGGATTTCAAGCATGTGGCACATCCATTGCGTTGTTGGACCCTGACCCCGCCGATTTGGGTGAGGGGTGCCACCGAATTTCACAAATTGTGGCGCATACTATTTTTTTTAGGCCCTGACCCCGCCGATCTGCGTGAGGGGTGCCACCGAAATTCAGGAATGTGGCAAATCCCATTTATTTTTGCACCCTGACCCCGCCGATCTGCGTGAGGGGTGCCACAGGATTTCAGAAGTGCTGCAAATCCCTTTTGTTCCCAACCATCCTGTGGTGTTGGGTCCTCGTTTTGAAGAGACAGCGCCCCGCGTCCCACCTCCTCTCCTCCTCCTCCCCCTCCTCCCTCCTCGCATCATCATCATCATCATCATCATCATCATCATCATCATCATCATCATCATCATCATCGTAATCGTCATCGTCATCGTCATCATCATCATCATCATCATCATCATCATCATCATCATCATCATCATCATCATGTTTGTCATCGTCGTCATCGTCATCGTCATCACCCATTTCGGCACACCCCTCACACGTTTCGTGGCCCCACAGGGAGCTCCACCGAAGGCCCCAGTGCTGCTGTCCGCATGCGTCCCGCACACCCATTTCGGCACACCCCTCACACGTTTCGTGGCCCCATAGGGAGCTCCACCGAAGGCCCCATGGCTGCCGTCCGCATGCGTCCCGCACACCCATTTCGGCACACCCCTCACACGTTTCGTGGCCCCACAGGGAGCTCCACCGAAGGCCCCAGTGCTGCCGTCCGCATGCGTCCCGCACACCCATTTCGGCACACCCCTCACACGTTTCGTGGCCCCATAGGGAGCTCCACCGAAGGCCCCATGGCTGCCGTCCGCATGCGTCCCGCACACCCATTTCGGCACACCCCTCACACGTTTCGTGGCCCCACAGGGAGCTCCACCGAAGGCCCCATGGCTGCCGTCCGCATGCGTCCCGCACACCCATTTCGGCACACCCCTCACACGTTTCGTGGCCCCACAGGGCTCCACCGAAGGCCCATCTGCCGTCCGCATGCGTCCCGCACACCCATTTCGGCACACCCCTCACACGTTTCGTGGCCCCACATCCACCGAAGGCCCCAGTGCTGCGTCCGCATGCGTCCCGCACACCCATTTCGGCACACCCCTCACACGTTCACTCCACCCCCCACCGGCATGCGTCCCGCACACCCATTTCGGCACACCCCTCACACGTTTCGTGGCCCCATAGGGAGCTCCACCGAAGGCCCCATGGCTGC